GGTCTCTATAAAACGATAATCAGGATCGCAAAAAAGTCAACTGATTTGAAACACTTGCCGAACGTCTCTCTCTCTTCTGAAATCCGCCTCGGTGATCATGGGCTGGTCCGGAATCTATTTCTTTCAAAAGTGTTGCGCCAGGTTTACGTTGTCGACGTTTCATTTTAAACCTAGTCGTTTTTTTTTATGGACGAGGACAGTTTTTCCCCCAAAAAAGAATCTAAGTTTAAGTGATGTCGCACCTTCGGATCGATTAGAAACGTGTGAATACATACACTATCGCTATACGTTTCACTGCAACTGCCCACAACACAACATCTAAAAACTCTCTCTCTCAAAAAAAAAAAAAAAAAAAAAAAAAAAATAGACAAAAAACAAAAACAAAAAACGCCGACCGAAAAATGTATATCGTTTAAAAGTATACTGAACGACCAGTGTTATTACGGCTCAGGGGTATGACTTCCTCTCACATTTTGTCATTTGGTGGCGCACTTTCGGCGAGAGTCGGAAATCCGGAAACAGTCGACCGTTTCACGATAGGTGGGCGTGGCTACAACACGAGATATATCCCAAATTTACTTAGATAAGAGTAATCATTTTCAGCAAAAAAATCAATAACTACCCTTTTCAGTGGGACACAGATATAAAATGGGAAACGTGAGGGTGGGCATTGCACAGGCACTGTTTTTTCAATGTTTTGTTCTATATTTATTCTTGGAATTGTATTTTTAATGTTACCCATGGATTCTTTATTTATTCCTTATGTGGCTTGCATTTTGTTTAAATTTGGAATGACACCAGACATTTTTTTTATATTCAATTTTTGGGGCTGGTATTACAGACGGCAGTAGTCGTTGCTTATTTTGTACATAATTTATATACTGAGGGATTAGTATGGCGCCATCTATAGTCACGTTTTAACCAGGCAAACAACGCAATTACAAGCACTTAGAAGAGTCCACTATTGAAATGTATAAGCATTTAGGGGTGTTAATATTATAGAACTACGAGCAAGCAAGATGGATCGGCAACTGGATTTAATTTTAAAACGGTACTCAAAAATCTAATTTATGTTCACATACAACTCTGCTAACAGTGTCAACAACATTTGCTAAAATAACTGTATTTTGGTGAGAAAGAAAAACAACACGGTTTTAAAAGCTACAAGATAGAAGTTACATGAATACACACCCTAATGGAAAGTTTCGTAGAGTATCCATCGACCATTATTATGCATATCTGCAGTTAAGTCTTGTTGGCTGTACACAGCTTGACTGAAAAAGAAACTCGTCGAGTGAGTAGCTTACATAACTATCAGACAGAAACGTTGAAAACAACATGACTATGAATCAGAGGAGCCACCGACAAACTTTGACACATTCTACGATGTAACTCGAGAATCATACGGGCATTACATGGTTGCTGACTTTGGAGTGTACTATAACGTTTAATCCATGGTAAATGACTGTCAAACGAGTCCTAAAACAGTTTTCCAACAACTAAATATATATTATAATAGTAGTTTATAAATAAATAAACGCTGCTCGTATAATATAATATTTGGTAATCGTAGTCCGAAATAACTATTAAAAATAGCTAGCCATTGCTCGAAACGTCTAACTATTTTTAATAGTTATTTAAGACTACGATTACCAAATATTATCTTCTAAATATATATTAGACAGACAACCGGGCATTTTTTACAAGTCGAATGTTTACAGAAAAAAACGTAATTGTTGTAAAAAATAAAAACCCCTACTAGACTTCGATACATTATTTTTGAAAGTGTTTTATAATTTATAGATGCAATAACGCAGTGTGTCTGTAATTATTAGTTTTATTATGTCTATAACATTCAGCCTAATTTACACTTTGTTACTAAACCAACATATTTCAAATTTTCAATCAATCCAAGGGCCCATGCATTCAAGAACATGATTGTCAAGACGGGGTTTAGTTTGCATCTGAGGTGGTACTGCTGCTTTTTCATATCCATCAAGTTTAGCGAGCATCTCGTGTACTATATCTTGTCTTTCCTCAGACACATCAGTTCTTTCAGAAGGATCATCCACTAAGTCATATAGCCGAACCATGCGAGTGTCATCGAAATCCTCATCGTCTATTACACCATACTCTGGATCTGGCATGTCCCAGAAATTGCGATCTAAAATATAATTGTTGTGAATCGAGAGGAGCATAAATGACCTATCCAGCCTTCATACGATAAGGTATTTTTGAAGTAAAAAAAATACATTTGTGATGTTTTGTTAATATTGCAAACGCGCATGGCGTAATAAAATAGACAAGTAATTATTCATCTGTATGTTGCAAGCTATACGACTATCACTGACTTAATCCTTTGTACATATTATGCCTTCATATAGAGTAACCTTTATGCAGTACACAACGGAAATAATTGGCGTTTCCTTATTATATATTTACATATCTACAGTTTTCAGTACAATATACACACTACGACACACTGTGACACAAATTCGATTTTTATAAGACAGAAATACATATACATTTGCTGTAAACATAAAATTACATTGAAATAAATGTTTATACTTTGGAAATACACATTGCTATCTTTATTGCTAAATCAAACTTGTTGTCAAGATACTCTTATTATAGCGAACTCCTTATACTGTCGAATGAATACTCACATGTGCTATCACCTGTCAGTAACTTCCATTTACCCATTTTGATAGCTGCAAAAGTTGTGATATCAAATTTATCATATTTGAATGGACCAGTTCGATATTCTTCGCTTGCTTTCCTTGTCGTGTCTAGAGCAATCAATACTTCACCACGTGCCGATGGTTCCATTCCTCTGTACGTTCAAATAAAATATTAGTAGGAAGGTTGGTGGTCAGTCCTTGATATTATTAAAGGTCAAACATAATTGGTAATTATATATAACTTGCACCCTCTTGTTTTTTAGTCAATTATGCGATTACATGAGAATCGCTAGTGTAGAAGTAACAACAATGGCAATGTTGCTGTCTTTCCACAGTGACTATCAACTTTTTATTTTATACATAACATAAAGCAGTTGTATCTAGTCATTACATGCAGTTGTGTCTCAAGCTAATCGGTGCTACAAATAATATTACACCAACATTTGAAACTGGTCGAAAAAAACATCAAACACAAAAAAAGAAGCAACTGCTTATACTTATCTTATACTAGAAAAGCGTTGGACTATTGCGTTGATATATCTATGTAACTGAAATGTCACATAAAAAAAATCGTAGTTTGTGATCATATAGATTTTCTAAATAATATCCAGCTATGTGGCATCTTCTAATTATCCTAAACAATTATCTATAAATACCTTATCATTTCCCATTGATCAACGCCATATAAATTCTTCCTTTCACAAGGGTTACCTCCTCCTAATTTTACCAATGTAGGGAACCAATCAGTTATGTGCATTAATTCACTATTCTCAGTGCCACGCACGTCCATCGGTAGTAAATCACTATAAACAAATGCAACTCCTCGCACTCCTCCTTCCCAGTGTGAGTTTTTTCTTCCTCTCAAAGGCCAATTGTTTCCAACTGATCCACCGCCATTATCTGAAAATGAATTAATGATATACGTAATGCAACTAATTCGTATGAACACGATAGTTTGATTTCACTGTAAACATAGATCAGCATAAATTCTTGCCTGTTGTTAATACAATTACACTGTTCTTCAACATTCCCTTATTTTCCAGTGCCTCGGTGATATTTGCTATTGCTTCATCAACACATGACGCCATTCCTGCATATGTTCTTCTTTCATTGTCATGAATAGTTGATTTATAATACTGCATATACACATCTGGGACTTGTATTGGCTTATGAACTGCAGAAAACGCCAGCATCAGAAATAGGGGCTATTAGAACCAACAACATTGTGAACAACAGAATTAATTTTATGTAATATATATTCATAACCTAGGAGAAGTCGTCATACACTCTAATGACGAACATTTCGAGCACGTGGTTAGAACAGTAGAAAATATGTACATACTACGTCAGTTGGACAAATCTAGCAAAATACAACACAGTCTGACTTGTAAAATTAACAAACTGTACTAGCATGTTAAACACATTAAGTTGAAACGAGCTGGACTAAAACATTCACAAGACCAACTCTGAACTAAATGATTCTCTGGGCAGAGGGGTGAAAGAAGAGATGTTTTTCTTTCAGATGGATCCAACGACGTTACTGACCTAAATTAAACTGACTACTTATGGGATGTATGCAAATGACTTGCATTGTTCCTTAATTTTATAATAATTAATACATAAATTACATATCCTTAATAAATTCTGTTTAAATAAATGTCTACAATACCAAAACAAATCAGTAGAAATAAGTAGAAATAAGTGTAATACAAACAAAATAGCGCCCTCAATGGGTAAACATTACTTAAACTTAAAC